TTAGCAAACCAAGTTACGGTTTGTAAAACCTGTCATTGTTATAAACCACGTTTTACGACTGCGTATGTTATATGACTCCTACTGATTTTTGCGCAACGGTCCATTTTAATTACCATTCAGTTCAATATATGCACGACTAGGTTATATCTGGTTTCATGAATTTCATGTATTTGTTTTTGGGATTTATCTATTGCCTCAGCCTTGGCTGTTCAAAGTAAGCAATAATGTGGTTTTTTTGGTTTCATGTAATGGCTCTGTGAGCCAGCCCTTGTGGATGGGATGGGTAACTCCAGCCAATTGTGCTTATTCAATAAACCACATAGCGGCTAGCTCAAAATTACCCGTAAAGAGTGCTTCCTGGTTGGACTTGGCCATGGCTCTTCCTAATCATTGTGAAGCAACCCAACCACAACTTCACAATCGGATCAAAGGAAGCTTGCACATAAGGCATGAAGGCAACGCCTTCCCTATCCCTTCTCGCCAGCATTGGCTTAAGAAAAAGCTCTTAAATCCTGTGATAAAGACAAAGTTGTTTGTTCACATTGCCAACATTTTTTACATTTCAGAAGATCCATTTCTGGAGATTAGTTGTAAACTGGACAAAGGTTTATTTTTGCCTTGTCTAACACAATAACAGAGTTGGAAGGGACATTGGAGGTCTTCTAGTCCAACCCCCTGCTCCAGCAGGAGGCCCTATACCATTTCAGACAAATGGTTGTCCAATCTCTTCTTGAAAACCTTCAGTGTTGGAGCACCCACAACTTCTGGAGGCAAGCCGTTCCACTGATTAATTGTTCTCACTGTCAGGAAATTTCTCCTTAAGTTCTCCTTGCCTCCAGAAATTGTGCATCCTCCAACACGAAGTTTTTAAGAAGACACTAGACAACCATTTGTCTGAAACAGTATAAGGTTTCCTGCCTGAGCAGGAGGTTGGACTAGGTCCCGTCCAATTCTGTTATTATCTCTGGACCAACTTGAAGGATCAACACTGAATTAATAAAGCAGTCATCCTCTCTCGGACAGCAACCGTTGTAGATAACAATCAGTAGCCATTTCATACATTCTCAGCTAGCTGTGATGGGAGATAATTCAGAATATAATTAATAACCAAAAAGAGGATGATACCAGAAATCCAGGTAGCCCAATGAGACCAGCAGGGTCGACCTGGAAAACTTTTAAGCCCCTATTGAGAACAACAAAGGCAAGAAAGCAACTTTAGTGGTCATTATATATTTTGCTTAAATTTTCTCCCTAATGAGAAGACTCTCTTCGCGTGTTGCCTTCTGCCAGAGTGACAACCCAAACTGCAAGATTGCGCTTTACAAAATGTGCAGTTCGGCTCACATTTCTCTTGTCCCCTTCCTTCCTCATTCCGTATTATGCCCAATGCTTCTACTTTCCTGATGTACAAAGCAAAATATACATCAGGAAGAAAAAAAAACTTGCTTGACTGGTTAAAATAAATACCCTGAGCTCAAGCAGCTTTGTTCTCCCTTTTTGCGGTACGAATGTTAAAGGAAACACTAACACAAAAGAAAGCACGTATTTGAAAGTTTTGCTAGCGGCCTCCGATTGCCGAATAAAGCCGAACGTTTCACTGTTTTTTTTTATTCTTGAACTTTCAGGCTGAGATATGAGGAGTCTCAAAATATTTCTGAAAATGTTAATACGGTATAGGTGGTCCTTGTCTTATGACCGCAAATCAGGCCAACATTTCTAAGCAAGTGAGCCATGCTCCATTTTAGGATCCTTTTGCCACAGTTGTTAAGTGAATCACTGCAGTTATTAAGTGAATTGTGTAGTTGTGACTCCTACTCCAATATTTCCTTGCTTTGTCACATGCCCACCGTAAGTGATAAAAGGTGCCCCCTTTCCTTTTGCATTTACAACATTCATTTGAAGTACCTTTATGCATTCCCTGACATCAAAAGTTTTCTTTTAAGTTATAATTTAGGGGTAATTTTTAAACTTTTTGTCCACGTATCCGCCCAATGTTCAAGCTTACATTATGTCCAAAGCTCCTTGACCACTGAAGCATGCACTGCTTTACATATTCATTCTCTAAATTCAAATTCGATAACACTTTATAGACTTTGGCAATGATATGCTCATCACTATCGCACAGTAGGATTTCCATCTCATTTTTCGCCAAAAATCTGACCCGTAACTCTTTTTTGTCTGATTTAAATCTTTCTTTCAATTGTAAATATGTAAACCAGATGCAACTTTCTGATTCTCTTTGGACTTAAAGATGGAAACTGACCAAGGAGAGAAGCAACTTGGAACTAAGGAGAAACTTCCTGACAGTGAGAACAATGAATCAGGGGAACCACCTGCCTCCAGAAGCGGTGAATGCTCCAACACTGGAAGTCTTTAAGAAGAGACTGGACAGCCATTTCTCTGAAATGGTATAGGGTTTCCTGCCTGAGCAGGGGGTTGGACTAGATGACCTCCAAGGTCCCTTCCAACTCTGTTATGCTGTTCTATTCATGCTAAAGAGAGGATAGGTCACAAATGGTGATGCTGCCACCATTTTAATACCTGCCGGTTATCAAGCTCCTGAATTTTGATCACGGGACTGCGGGGTTGCTGCAACGTTCGTAAGTGTGAGGAACAGTCATGGCACCCGACGACTGCCAGAAATGAGCTACCTTTCCTCTTATGCCTCCAGAAAAACACATATGGAAGCCATCTGACTTCCTACCATGCACCCCACCTCTTAGTGAATTTCTAACAATGGTTTGTGCAGTGCGTTTCGGTTGATGTCCTCCACGTAGGCCCACGATTGGGATCAAAATGATCGTTGCTAAGCAGGGCCATTTTTAAGTGAGCCGCACCTAATTTTACCTTTTTTTTTTGCCATGGTTGTTAAACAAAACACTGCAGCCGTTAAATGAATCAGGCGGTTGTTTAGCGAATCCGGCTCCCTTCATTAACGTCGTTTGTTGGAAGCCAGCTGAGAAGGTTGCAGATGGCGAGCACTAGACCCCGAGATGCTACAACAATCATAAATACATGCCAGCTGCCAAGCTCTCGAGTTTTGATCATGTGACTGTGGGATGCTGGGAGGGTTGTAAGCATGAGGGGAGGGGAGGGGAAAGGAGGGAAGGAGAGGGAGAGGGAGGAGAAGAGGAGGAGAGGAGAGGAGAAAAGGAGAGGGAGGAGGAGAGGAGAGGGGAGAGGAGAGGAGAAGAAAGGAGGAGAGGAGAAAAGGGAGAGGGAGGAGGAGAGGAGGAAAGGGAGAGGAGAGGAGGAAAAAAGGGAGGAGGAGAGGAGAGGAGGAAAGAAGGAGAGGAGGAAAAATGAGAGGGAGGAGGAAAGAGGAGAGGGAGGAGGAAAGGAGAGGAAAGAAGGAGTGGGAGGGAGGAGAGGAGGGAGGGAGAGGGGAGAGGAAAGAGGAGGAGAGGGAGAGGGAGAGGGAAAGAAAGGGAGAGGGAGGAGGAAGGAGAGGGGAGAGGAGGAAAGAGGAGAAGAGAGGAGGAGAGAGGGAGGAGGAGAGGGAGGAGAAGAGATGAAAGGAAAGGAGGAAAGAAGGAGAGGAGAAGAGAGGACAGGAGGAAAAATGAGAGGGAGGAGGAGAGAAGAGGAGGAAAGAAGGAGTGGGAGAGGGAGGAGAGGAGAGGAGAGGAGGAAAGGAGAGGGAGGAGGAGAGGAGAGGAATTTAGCGAACTAGCTATTCCCCAAAAAATATCGAAGAATTCATATTTCTGTTTATTTGATTACGGGAACACTAAATCGGAAGTAAATAGTTTAATGCTAAATGTTTCAGTCAGGTTCATTGCAAGAATTCTTAGCATTAGTGACACTCAACAAAGGAACAAAATCTCAAGTACTGATCCAGGAATATCTGCCGGGGGTCAAAAAAGAAAAAGAAAAAAAGAAAAATCAAGTGGGAGGTACAATGCACATTAAAAAGGGACAAGACTTTCTACACACAATCATAGCCCTCGTTGTGATTTTTTTTTTGACCAAATACTTCCCTGCAGAAATCCAGTAGGATTTTGCCGACTGGAATTCAGAAACTGGCTGGCATTGTCTTCCCTGCAGCACAGACACAGCCTTTTGGTGGTCTCCAAGCATGACGGAGTTACAAAAATAGCTCAACAGTTTCCCTTCGTTTCTCTCGAAAGGGACAACGCGGAAGCCTCTGAATACAGCTTATGTTCAATTTAAGGCAATTTTGCCCAAGTGAGGAGACAATAGCAATAGCAATAGCACTTAGACGCATATACCGCTTCACAGCCCTCTCTAAGCAGTTTACAGAGTCAGCAATTTGCCCCCAACAATCTGGGTCCTCATTTTGCTGACCTCGGAAGGATGGAAGGCTGAGTCAACCTTGAGCGGGTCAGGATCGAACTCCAGACTGTGGGCAGAGTCAGCCTGCAATACTGCATTCTCACCGCTGCACCGCCAGGGCTCTTACAAACAAATGGATGGATCTTACTCTCCAAAGACGAGTTCCACTGGCAAAAAGAAGTAGCACTGTATTTACACTCTCGGATTTAGTCAAGAAAATGGCAAACATTTTATATATAAAAAAAAAACCTAAACTTTCCCCGCCCACCAAAGTTGCTTTCCCTAACTTCTAATATTTAGCCCTTATTTTCCTAGCATCGATCAGTACCAGCTGCTGTAATAGATGTAGCTTCTGTTAAGTAGCCAGGATGTAGAGAAAAAAAAACAGTCACAAGTAACTACAGTGTTTAATATTGACACTGCGAGGCTTTTGTTCCCGTTCGTGTCCAAAAAAGCCAAGTTCGGGTCTTAAAATGGGTACCATTCGGATCCTAAACTGGCAGAAGCAGTGAAGGAAACGACGAAGGGACGCCGTTACGATCCGCCGCGTCCCAGTCTTTTTACAGCTGACCCACTTCTTCCGTTACTCCATCCTCACGGCAGGAGGAAAGCAGCCGTCAGACTTTTGCTCTGCAGCAATTCCAGGCTCTGCTCCGTCGTTCAAATGACCTGATTTCGGTGTGCAAAAAAAAAAAAAAAAACCTAACCAAGGGACCAATCCGTGCCTTCTCTTCTTCACACTTTGGATTGCCTCTCATCTGTCCATTCCTGTTTCGTGTTTTGCAGAGCTTGAGTTCTTTGCTCGTCTACCTGAACGTAGTCCACTCGTTGTTCTTCCGAGAGGAAAGGTTTCTGCAAAATGAAGGCAATAAAACGTAAATATAAGGGCCTAGGGCAGTGTTTCTCAACCTTGACAACTTTAAGGCATGTGAACTTCAACTCCCAGAATTCCACAGCCAGCATAGCTGGCTGTGGAATTCTGGGAGTTGAAGTCCACATGCCTTAAAGTTGTCAAGGTTGAGAAACACTGGTCTAGGGCAGTGGTGGCGAACCTATGGCACATGTGCCACAGGTGGCACGCAGAGCCCTCTCTGTGGGCATGAGCGCCGTCGCCCCAGTCCTAGGCCTTCAGCTGGGTTTTATAAAACCTTTCCGCTTTAGGCCTCCGCCGCCGTTTGCAAAAAAAAATAAATGGTTCAATCAATCAGTCAATTTCAACTTCTCGCGGGGAAAAAAAAGATCTCGTAAAGTTGGAATTGATTGATTGAACTTTTTAGTCTCACCCAGTCTGCCGTTACCACCGCAGCCACACCCACCCAATTGGCCACACCCACCCAATGGCCACATCCACCCAATGGGCCACGCCCAGCCAATGGGCCACACCCACCTGGCACCCGACGATGCATAAGTGGGTTTTGGGTTGCAGTTTGGGCACTCGGTCTCTAAAAGGTTCACCATCACTGCTCTAGGGAAATGCTAGGGTTACATCCCTTATCCCCTTATTAGGCAGGAAAGCCTAGTTTCAGATATGAAGGTCCAATTAAACTGATTTATTACTACTCATGCCTGTGCATAGGAATCTTCTCAACTAACAGTTAGCATCTGCTTGGCGTTAGATACGGGTCAAAGGAATTCAAGGGAGGTTGGACGTCGCTTGTGGCTACACAGGGATTCTAGGCTGATCCCTCTTTTAACTCCACCCCCAAGTCCTGCCACTCATTCTCCTACATCTCTCCTCTTTCACATCCTTAGTGGCTTTTCCCTCCCATCTTGAAGATGGAGAAGACATCAATTGGAAAGTGGAACATTTCAACTTGTCCCGATTTGTCACCTTGTCCCTCAAGGGAACAAATCAAGGGAATCCATAAACTGGAGATTCATGAAAAACATTTGGTTTTAGATGAAAAAAAATGTTATCCCCCACGTATGTGCTTTGATGGGTCAAGGTCAGAATGAATTTCAACTCCAGAGAGTTTCATCTAAAATATGCCCCGTTCTGGGTGCAAAAACCAAATACAAAGATAGCTACTTCCCCCTGTGGAAATTGCTCTTAGGATGGAGAAATTCACTCCTGCTTTCTATAATTTTTGCATTTTTTTTCATGGACAACTTTATTTGTTTATCATTTCCCAATCTATTTAAAATTATTTCTGCTTAGAAGTCTGCATTTACATTTTCATACCCTTGGACTGCAA